TTTGAAATCAAATACAAATTGATGTTGTTTTTGTAGCACCTGGTTCCCGGTATGTAAATCTTATTTGAGTATTTCCCATTTTAGCCTTGGACTCGGCGAGTCATAGGTCCGACTCGCCGAGTAGGGACGAGACTCAGGACACGTTTAAGTTGGCGACTCGGCGAGTCCATATCCTGGACTCGGCGAGTCACCGCTGTTGGATGAAACCCTAAATTTCAAGGGTTTGCACCCTATTTAAACCCTCATTTCCGCCCCAAACTCGCCCCCATTCACCCCCAGAGCTCCCAACATCGTTTATACCCTTATTTCCTTGAGAGATTGAAGGGTTTTGGAGTGTTCTTGAAGATTTTGAGGAGAAAGAAGAGTATATCAAGAAGAGGAGAAGGAGGCCAAACATCTTTGTGTCATCTCAACGTTTTCCTTGAGGTATAGCTCGTTTCCCCTCAGTTTTCAAGCTTGTAATCTCTTTTAGCTTCATAGAAGTCTTTCTTGAGCTTTTCCCCAAGCTTGTTTGTGCTTTGTGGGCTGTAATAAGTTGATAGCCTTTAGATCTAGGCATGATTTAGTCCCTGGAGCTTGGATCTAATGCCTTTTTGGGGTCATATTGCATGAAAGCCCTAAATCTACCTCTTTTGGTGAACTTTGAGCCTTAAAATCCATATTGGTGAATATCTACACGTAAAGTTGGAAACTTTACGTGTGATGTGTGTCCTAGAAGCCTAGATCTGTGAATGACATGGACTAGAATCGAGCAAATCGGTGTATTTGATGGATGCATGGCGGCGACTCGGCGAGTCGTATATGTGACTCGGCAAGTCTGGTCGCGAGTCACCGAATTGGTCCCTTTATGATGTATCGAGTTTGAGCCGTGAGTCACAGGGGGTGACTCGGTGAGTTGGAAGCTGAACTCACCCATGTTAGGACTCGGCGAGTCAATGCCCTGACTCGGCGAGTCCAAGGCAATCTTCATAGATCAAGAACAGACTCGGCGAGTTGTTCATACAACTCGGCGAGTCTTAGCATAAGTGTTCTTCGGATGAAGATGAACTCGACGAGTTGTTCATACAACTCGGCGAGTAGGATGAAGGGGTTGAATGTCAGTTTAGAAGATGAACTCGTTGAGTCATAGCCTAACTCGACGAGTAGAAATAGGGACTCAGGACAATCGTCTGATAGGGACTCGACGAGTTGGAGAGCCAACTCGGCGAGTCGGGTCAACGGAAAGATGACTCGGACTTTGAATTAGAGCTAGACCAGGGGTAAAATGGTCATTTTACCCAAAGGACAGTTAGCAGTGTTTGATTTAGTATGTTGTGGGAATTGCAGCCGGAGGATTTCCGGAGCAGCAGCAGTCAGTTAGTTCCCGATCAGTTCAGCAGCTACTTTGAGGTGAGTTACCTTCCAGTAGCGGTGGGTCTAAGGCCACAATGTCGGCCCACCAGTAGGAGATGTGTGATTAGATGATTGTCTTTGTGATATTCATCTAGGGTTGCTAGACTATGTGATATATGTGTTATGTGGTAGTAGTAGGGGTGAAATAGTCCCCAGTATCCGGTCGAAAGGACCGAAGGGGAGGCCAGCACCCAAATATGCTAGGCAGTATCCGGTCGAAAGGACCGAAGGGGAGGCCAGCACCCAAATATGCTAGGCAGTATCCGGTCGAGAGGACCGAAGGGGTAGGTCGGGCACCCAGATATGCCTGACAAATTTATGTATGTTATGTGATTATGTGGTATGTGGTACAGTGGGGGAACTCACTAAGCTTTGTGCTTACGTTTTACAGTTTGTTTTCAGGTACCTCTTCACCGAAGGGGAAGGAGCCGGCGCGGTAGCGGCACATCATGCACACACTCTGGTTTTCGCATTTACGAGATTCACTGGGATTGTACTCTGATATTTTGATGGGATGTATGATTTGACTTTTAAAACATGGTTTACGTTGTGTTATGGTGTGATCAAACAATGTTTTTATTTATTAATGTTTTCTAAAGTAATATTTTAAAACGAAATTTTTGGACGTAAAAATTGGGTCGTTACAGTTTTCCAAAATGATGAAATGATTGACATCATTGGTGTAATAAAGGGTACAAATTATGAAGGTATTCTTACCCGTTTACCCCATAAAGTAGCGTGCACCGGAGCAAAAACAAAAAGGAACCCCATACGTCTGTTACTGAGTTTCATAAGTGTGTTATTTCATTCTTATTATTGTCTTCAATCATGTCGCATTAATACTTCATTCTTTGAGCTTTTTGCAACATTTTTGTCCCGGTTGATAGTGAAATCATTATACAACAGGGACCAAAATTGTGAATTCTAGCTACCCTCGCGTACCAAAAGAATCGTTTTTGTGCGAACAAGTCAAACCTATTTCATATGAGTAGTTTGAAACATGATGCAGATCTGGTATGTAAGATGTGATTCGTTTGACTTAAGGTAAATGATATGCTTTACTTGTAAGTTGTAAGTTGTAAGTAGTTATTTAATTTATTGACTTAAGGTAAATGATGTGATTCGTTTGACTTAAGGTAAATGATATAAGAGAATCCTCACGTAGGAGTGAACTATTGAATTGGAGTATTACATCTCTTTTAGATTGATTGTTGATTTGGTATTGAATTTTTTTTTTTGGTACCTTTTTTTTTGTAGATTTTTGCAATGGATTTGATTGATGAATGCAACTTGAACTGTTAGTTTCTTTTTTAAAATGTGGTGATGTCAAAAGACAAAGGAGAGAAGAAAGATAAGTAGAATGCATCAAGTCAAAAAAACATTACAAAATCCCTTTTAATTGTAACTATAAGTGAATCTCCTTGGATATGTATTGTAATTTGTGTACCTTGAATCATTTTTATATTGTGGGTTACAAAAACAAGTAAACTTCTTGGACAATATACCCAAATATAGCATTCTACTTTCACTTTTTGCATAACCGTCATCACACACCATTGTATTTTGCCTTTTTGGTAAACCTTATCCCAATATAAGCATTATACATTCCAATATAAGAATTCTACATTTTTTTTAAATATTTTAAGACTGTTACAATTTTTTTTGAACTTTTTTTACTTAAAAAAACCTTTTTGACTTCTTTGGAATAAAAGACGTCATTATTATTATTTTTTACCTGTAAAAAGCAATTTTCTTTAACTTTTTTTTTTTTTTTGTAAAAAAAATCATTTTTTCTGACATTTTTGGATTTAAAAAACATCTTATAGCATCTAACTTTCTAGAAAATTACTTAAACGAGATCTCACATAATCCTTTTTACTGTCTTTGGATTGTAAAGCACATTTTTTGATCTCTTTTAACTGTACAAAAAAACTTCTTTCGACTTGCATTTCGATAATCTTTCTATTTTGCATGTACTACATCTTCTCCAATCTAACAAATCTACCCAAGTAGTACATCCGATTATGTATTGTCTTATGTTTGAAATTATTGATTTACCTTTTACCAGCCCCTACTAGATATTGTATAGAATCATATAATGATATTTACTATCAAAAAAATGAACCTAAAATATAATTATAAATACAGTCACGGAAAGTATATTGCTATTTTTTCATGTTAGATGCTCAAATCTGGGACCCTGTGTGTAGGACCAAAAAAGGATGTTTTTTATTTTTTCAGGGTAGATGCTCAAATCTAGTAGCCCGTAACACTGCCACCTTTCGTCATAAAACGTAATCTAGGAATTTCGATTGAAGTTTTGTCAAAAAAGGACATGTGCTTTATTTTACTAATGTTTTAAAATAATTATGAATTAAAGAGTTGACATGTTATGTTTTTATAGGATAGGAGAATACGAAAGGTGATGAGGCAAAATCATGAAGCTAAAAAATAAGTATATTCAAAAGGTTGAACTCATTGAAGTGGAGTCTGCAAGCTGTCAAAAAGAAGCAAACATTTTGAATTTTTTTAAGCGTATCATGTCTTATATGAATTTTTTATTGCCTAATTGTTTTGTTTGTATTTCTTTTGCTGTAATAGGCCACAAAGACTCGAGTATTTTGTGAAGAAACAATGGGTAGAAGTTGTGATCATGGTGCTTTCATACTCGACCTTCTATTTGAGTTTTGTCTCCTGTTTCGATGTATTTTTGGGCAGGTATCAGTGATATGCTTTCAACTTTCTTAGAAGGCACGTCTTAATGATTGATTTTGGTTATAAATTAAACGTGCGCGCCCACGAAAGGATCCGGGCAGCAAAAGTGTAGAGTTTTTGTACAAACTGACACTACATACCATTTTTTAGTAAAAAAAATAGTGATTCAAAAGCATCATAAACATATTGTTGAAGCAAAGATTTCAGTTATTGGGTTCCTAAAAGATTTTATGTAAGCAAGTTTAATCATCGTTGTTCTATCCATATTTTATTGTTCTATTGTTTTCAGGAAAGAATAACACAATTGTATAGATTTGAATTATTGTTAATGCCAAGATTTATATATATTCTCTTTGGATCATGTACTTCGATGCAGCTGCATTTCATTCTGTTTCAAGTTACCTGGTGCTGCTTTAAAACTTGGGCACCTTGTATTACTATCAGATTTGGTGTATTAGTATCACAAAAACAAACTTTCATAATACCGACTAACCCCGGGGTGACACTTTCCTAGTTGATAATGAAATCTCAAATTGATTGTCCCGATTTGGTAAACAGATAATAAAAATTGAATTTGTTAATTGCCGCCTGTCGGTATTATTTATGACTTTGTTTGTTTTGGATTTCTTTTGATATTACTTCTCGGATTATTTGTCGATAAAACCTGAACCTTTGCCCCTTCTTACAACCGGCCAAATATTACAAATTGACAAGATAAAATATCTTCATGTATCGGGCCATTATGCATGTGATATGTGAGAACTGCCCACGTGGACTAGAATAATGGCACGTGTACCATCGTTTGCCACGTACGCAATACATATCGTATACGATAAAACTCCCCCGCCCTTTTAATTTGTCGCATAATCATATGCGATCAAAGCGAACGTAAAATGGAGGCGGAGAGAACAGGCGAGACAAGTGAGGACGGACAACGGCGGAATACAGCAGAGCAACCACCACCACTAGTGGCTGAGGAGAGAAGGAAGAAGAGTCTGAGAGTCCTGGTAGCAGTTGACGAGAGCGATGTCAGTTTATACGCTCTAAAATGGACTCTCGAACACCTCTTCAAGACTCCGGTCGCCGCTGCAGCTGTAACTCCTGACACCGTTGAAACAATCCCTGATCCCGAACAGGGGATGGTCACCGTGGCTCATGTCATGGAACCTTTCGAGCGCTACATGTTCCCTGCAGAGCCATGTCCGTACTTTTCGTTATTTACGTTCTACCACTTCAGCTTTATCTCTTAATCAGAATACAACCTTCAAAAATAAAAATACGCTTTGATGTTTCTATACATGCAGCAATGTATACATCCGTCGCTATGGTGGAATCTGTGAGAGCAGCACAACGGGAAAAGGCTGCGGAACTTCTCTCTCGCGCATTTCAAATTTGCAAAGAATCGAAGGTAATTTAGCAACTAGTATATTGATGTATATTAATTTCGATCATTAGATCGATTGCAATAAACTAATGGATAATTCTATATGTTTAATCAGATCAAAGCAGAAACCTTAATTTTGGAAGGGAATCCGAAACAGATGATTTGTGAAGCTGTAGAAGAAATGCATTTTGATCTTCTTGTTGTTGGTAGCCGTGGACTCGGCGCTATCAAAAGGTAACTCGATCAAAATTAATTACTTGATTCAGTTAATTAATATACATATATATTTTGGTTAATGACTGATGCACGGTTAACTAATTTATATATATGCATGCAGAGCTTTGATAGGGAGTATAAGCGACTTTTGTGCACACCATGCAAATTGCCCGATACTGATAGTGAAGCCTCCCCGCAAGTAGCTACAAATACGATCGATTGTTTTAACAGCTTGTTTTTTCACCCAACAGTATCAGTATATTCTATATGTATAGAAGGTTGGTGTTGTTTTTTTTTTTTCGAATCTACAATCCTTTCTAGCAAAAGAGTAGGAACAAACGGCTTGCAACATATAATAAGAAGCATGTATGTCTGCAGATTGCTGCAGTAAACTAAAATTTAAATAAATTAATTTTATAAACTGAAAATAGAAATTTAATAATTGTAGTCTTAAAACATTAAAATAATAATAACAAGAACATGTAAAAAACAAAAGTATAAAACTTAGAAAAAGAAAAAAAACAAAAAAATATAAGAAAAAATGTAAAAGTAGCTAATAATTTTATTCTAGAAAAAAAATTAATTTTAAAAAACATTAAAAAAAATAATAAAAAAATTAAAAAAGTATTGCTAACGTTATTTTTCGTAAAAAATTACACACGTTCAAAGTAACTGAAATTGAAAATATTATTAATAAAACGGTAAAACAAAATTAAAAAAATCATAAAATTATAAAAATAAATTGTATCACATCCCTAAATAAACATTTAAGAAAATCAAAGTTTTAAAAAAAATTAAAAAAAAAGTTATATAATTTTTTTTTTAAAAACACTTAGAAAAAATAAAAGCTGAAGAGGTTAGAAGAGGGAAGTCAAGTGTTGCGTCACGCAGCACACGCATAGAGGTTTTGTAGTCTGAAGTTTTTCAAAAAACAAACTGCTGCGAGAGTGAAAGTGTTGCGCGTGTGCTGTGCCGCACAACAATAAGTAGTTTGAAGAGGTTTTTATAGAAAAAAAATAGCACCTTAATTTTGAGATGGCAGTTGTATTATAAGAAGTTTGAAAATATTTCTTACACTGTAGTACGATGTAGATTTTAGGAGATAGAATTGTGTAATTCGTGTTCAATTATATATATATATATATATATATATATATATATATATATATATATATATATATATATATAGGGTTAGGTTCATTTGAGACGGCTTAATTTCGTGAGACCGTGAGATGTATTTTTTTTATTTTTTTTAGTTAATTAAAGTTCCGAAAATAATATTTAAAAAATGAATTTTTGAATTTTTTCATTTATTTTGCATTTTAAAATTATTTTTTAGAATATGTATAGTGTAATATTCTATTAAAATATTTCACTTATTTTTTCAAAAAAAAATGGAATTTTTTTTATTTATTTTATTTATTTTTATTTTTTTAGTTAATTCAAGTTCTGAAAATAATATTTAAAAAAAGAATTTTTAGATTTTTCCATTTATTTTCTATTTTAAATTGTTTAGAATATGTTAGTGTAATATTCTATTAGAATATTTCACGTATTTTAAAAACAAAAAAACAGGATTTTTTTTTATTTTTTTATTTTTTTTTTATTTAATTCAACTTCCGAAAATAATATTTAAAAAGTATTTTTGAATTTTTCTATTTATTTTGCATTTTAAAATTATTTTTTGATTTGGTCTCAGGGTTTCACAAAATTAGAATGATATTAAATGAACCTGAACCTATATATATATATATATATATATATATATATATATATAAAAGTTCAATGGAAAAAATAAAAAAGGTTGAGAATGGAGAATTATTTTCAACCACTTATTTATTTTTCCCGTAAAAAACTCCGCCGTATCAGGGGAAATGAAAAATGAATAGACATGTGTTATCCAATAAAACATAAAGATGTTTTTTTTTAAACTATGCTAATCATTACCTTAATATATATAAAAACATAGTTTTTGTTCGTTTTTATTTTATTTTTAAGAAGCTATTTTTATTGAAAAATGATTTTAAATATACCAAAATTTATGATTTTTTATTCTTTACAAATAGACATCTATATTGATATAGTTTTACGATAAAATTAAAAAAAAATTATTTTTTCAGCTCTCGTTATTCATAAGTGAATAAAAATGCATCAGGTTTTATTACAGTACATTCGTCATTCACTTATTAATAAAAAGTATGATTATTATTATTATTATTTTTATAATTTAAGTATCATTTATATTTGAATATATCGTATAATAAACATAATATATTTATATTTAAATATTAGACGATGTATTCATTTGTGAATATTAACATAATGCATTCACTTGTGAATATATCGTATAATAAACATAGTATATTTATAGTATGACACTCTTTGTTATGCTTTAAGTGCTAATATGCTATGATATTATGCGATAGTGGTAGGAGGGGTAGTATAGGCCCTAGTACCGATCGAAAGGATCGAAGGGGTATGCCACCACCCTGATAAGCTAGGCAGTATATGACTTATGTGTTTATGTAGTAGTATGTTATATGGTAGAATTAGGGGTGAAATAGTCCCCGGAACCTGTCGAAAGGACAAAAGGGGTAGGCCAACACCCTGATATGCTAGGCGAGGTACCGGTAGAAAGGACCGAAAGGGTAGGCCAACACCCTGATATGTTAGGCAAGATACCGGTCGAAGGGTCGATTGGGTAGGCCAGCACCCTAATATGCTAGGCAAGTTACAGGTTGAAAGAGACCAAAGGGGTAGCTAGTACTCGGATATGTTAGACTATATGTTTATTGTATAGTATGTGGTATGATAAGGAACTCACTAAGCTTTGTGCTTATGGTTTTCAGTTTTGGTTTTAGGTATTTCCTCTTCGAAGGGAAAGGATTCGGCATGATCGCAGCGCATCACACCACATTTTCCGCACTATAGATCTATGTGATTTATACTCTGATAGATTTTGTTATGACATGTTTTGACTATGGATACATTGGTTTTTATATATATTGTTACTATGATGTTTTCAGACAAATGGTTTTATATTTGTCTAATTTAAAATGAAATTTTTGGTCCATGTTTTTGGGATGCTACAGTTATTGTATATATCGACATGTTATGGTTCGTTGGGTTGAGGCAGTCTTACTTTGTGTTGTTTGTATGGATAGACTGAAGGCATGCAAGGTCGTCCAGTCAGGCAGAAGAACAGTCAGTAGGGGCATCTAGATCTAGATGGTTCTGATTATGTGAATGATTTGATTGAATCTAGATGACTTGAGTGTTAACCATTAGATGGATGGTTGTAATGCAGCTTAAAATCTGAATGAGACTGCTTTTGATACTACATTAGTTGATAATCAGACTAATAAGGCATCTGAACCTTCATCTGATAGTACTATGCCTATTCCTTCAAATCTAACTAAGGAAAGTAGTCATTTAGACTCATTGCCTTCTCTAGGACAGTCAGTAGGGGTGTCTAGATCTAGAAGAGAGTCTCATATGCCTATGAAATTCAATGATTATATTTTTGAGGGAGGCATAGATATGGTATTGAACATACTCTTAATTACTTTATTCTTAGTGTTGAAAATAAGTGTTTTTGTTTTAACCTTAATAAAACGATTGAAATAAAGAATTTCGAAGAAGCCTCTACAGATCCAAATTGGATTGAGGTAATGAATAATGAAATGGAAGTCGTGTACTGTAATCATACATGGGATGTTGTAGATCTTCCTAAAAAAGAAAACCAATGGGTTGTAAATGGGTATATAGAATTAAGTACAAACCTAATGGATAAGTAGAAAGATATAAGGCTCATCTTTTAGCTAAAGGCTAGAATCAGATAAAAGGGGTTGATTATCAAGAAATCTTTTCTCCTGTAGCAAACATTGTTACAGTTAGTGTTATTATTGCTTTGTATGTAAACAAATCATGGCCTTTATATCAACTTGATATTAATAATGCTTTCCTTTATGGAGATTTGACTAAGGATGTATATATGAGCCTTCTTTAAGGGTATCATACTAAAGGTGATACTAGACTATGTAAGTTAGTAAATCCTTATATGGAGTAAAGCATGCCCCTAGAAAATGGAATGAAAATTTATGTTTTGAACTATTCGGTTATGGTTTTTCTCAAAGTATAAATGATTATTCTTTATTTGTTAAAAAAAGGGAATACTTCAATTATTGTTCTCTTAGTCTACGTAGATGATATTATTCTAACAGGAAATAATGAAATTGAACTTCAGAATGTAAAATCTTTTTCAAATTCAAAATTTTTAATAAAAAGATTTGGGAAAGTTGAGTTATTTTCTTGGAATTTAAGTTTTGAGTATAAACGAAGGTGTTTGTTTGAATCAAAGAACGTATTGTCTTGAACTTTTGAATGAATTTGGAATGTTAAGTTGCAAAATTGCTCTAACTCCTTTAGAAGAAAATTCTAAATCAGTTTATGCACAAGCCTTATAAGTCACATCTGAATATAGCTTTTAGATTACTTAGACACTTGAAGGGAAGTCCTAGAAAATGTATTTCTATAGTTAAGTCAGATAATTTTGATTTAGTGGGTTTTGTAGATGCTAACTGGGCAAAATGCCTTACTTCTAGAAAACCAGTTACTAGGTATTTTGATTATTTTGGAAGTTCATTAGTTTCCTGGAAAAGTAAAAAACAAGCAACTGTTTCTAGATCCTCAACTGAATCTGAATACAGGGCTTTGGGTTCTGTTACTTATGAAATTATTTGGATTTTGAAACTTTTGTTTGATTTGGGTATTAAAGGTTTGATGTCTATAAAAGTTTTTTGTGACAACGATAAAGCTTGCATTAAATCCTGCTTTCCATGAGAAAACAAAGCATTTTGAAATTGACTTGCACTTTGTTAGAGAAGTGATAGCAAATGGTGTTTTAAAAGTTAAAAAAATAAGCTCTTCCAAACAAAGAGCTGATATTTTAATAAAGTTTTTAGATATTTCACAACATAATTTTTATGTTAAATGAAGTTGCTTTCGTTAATCCTTTTAACAAAAGTTAATATTCTTTGTTCTAAAATGTCAAGTTTGAGGAGAGGTGTTAAAAGTATATGTTAGTTCAAACTTGACATGTTCAGTTATTATAGGGGTTAGATATAAAATAGTTTTAGATTGTTTTTAATATTTATTTTGTGGTGTGGGTTGTTTGTGATATTATTACAAAGTAATGGGTTGC